AGTGGGTCTTCCATTGAGTTTATTTATAGGCATTGTAACTGTCATAACTCCAACTACATGGATCGGATGCCCAGCATGTTAAATATTTCACAAATTATATATATATACAACATAAAATATAAATTACATAATGATTGCTAATCTTTCAAAACAACAGGAAAAAAAATCCAGATTCTAGGAAAGGAAGGAAAAGACAAACAGTATTGGCATTTTAACAGGTATTGTTGCTGTGATAAGTTGGAGCAACAGGATACTAAATCCTGGGCTGGGACAGGCACAAATTTTGCCTTTCCAGAAGCATATCATGGAAGGTGACTTTGGAGCAACCTTCTTTTGTTTCACAGTGACCTTCAGGGTGCCCCTGTGTCATGGAGGAAGTAAGCTTTGGTTGCTCCTATTTTTTTAACTTCCATTGTTAAATTCAAAATAAATGAGCCTCTCGCTTGTGAAGGGCATGATTACACAGTATCCAAAAAGGTCAGGCATCCCCTGTTCCATTAGCAATCAGCTTTCAAATTACTGTCATGAGATAAGCAGGCTCTGCACACATAACTCTCTGCTTAAATAAATGGCTGACAGCCTCAGCAAGCCTGGAACTTGACATCCCCAAAAGGCATGGGTTGAGATGGCTCCTGTTATCCTGCTGACAGATGCAGGGGTCAGAACAGATGGGCCAGAAGTACCTTGACTTCTGAGAACAACAGAAAGTCCCCACTGGCCCTGACGACGGATAAGTGAGCAGACACATCTGTGTACTGGAGATGTGCCCCCTCCAGATGTGTCCTGACTGCTGTCTAGGAGACAGGACCTAAACCAAGACAGCTGTGTGCCTCGTCTGTGCTTTAAATACTCTTTGATCCCTTCCGTGTGGTGACAAGCGTATGGTGCCGCTAGGGCTGCTGGCATCTCAGCATAATGAGAGCTGACTTTGGAGAGGAGAGGACAGCTCGGCTGAGAGCAACTGCCCCACTGTCCCCAGTGGATGCACAGAGGCGAGAACAGTGCTGAGGCTAGCACCCGGCTCACATTCTTTTGTCCATGAGGATAGGTGGCCCCAGAGGATGCATTTTCTGCATTCCCTACAAGCGAGCACCACGTGGGAGGGAGGACGAGGGCAGAGCCCCGGATGCAGACTGGAGCAGCAAAAGTCATTTTCCTCCCCTCCCCTCGGTGGCCTCTCTCAAAGCCGTTCTGGTGGAGGCTACAGTATCTAGCTGGCCGTTATTTTAGTTCCTCTTTTTTCAATTCTGGCTACAATCTGGAGCCCTCACAGCCCCTTCTCCAGGTCAGCCTCTCATCCAGGCAATTCTCTTAAGATATATGAGCTGCTGTGAGTACCAAAGCCAGAGGCTAGCCCACTGAGAGAAGTACATTGGAAAGGGTGCGTGTGCCTGCACTGTGTGCACTTATGCACGTGTGTGCACAGGGGTGTGTACACAAGCATGTACTGCGTGTGTACATGCATGGGTGTGCACGCATGCATTTGTGTGTGTGCATGAGTGTACACCGTGTGTGCGTGTGTGTGTGCAGCAAACTCAGCTCTTACCTGGCTGCACCAGCCTCTAAGACTTCGCACATTGCACTCCCTTCTGAGCTCATTCTGGGAGTCCCACGTGTCTCCTTTGGGCAGCTCCCAGCAGGCCTCAGCTCCTTCAGACCGCAGTGAAGCCAGAGGTGCCCAGGAGGACGTCTCCACTTCTTATTACCTGCTCATTAGCAGACAAGAGCACGCAGCTCAGGGCTGGACAGGCTTCTGCCTTCTGTGAGCAGAACACTTTTTAAAGGATTTTTGGTTTCTGTGTGTGTTTAAAAGAAAGCTTAAACTAGGGCCCCTGCCCAAATACATCATAGTACAGCCCCTTTTTCCCGCAAACTGAACTGAGATATTTCTATTCTAAGTAAACAGATTCCGAAGCCTACTTACCCCTCAAAGCCTGCTCGGCCAAGCCAAATGGCACTTACACACAAACTCTGGGGCCCAGGAGGCCTGCCACGCACTTCCATAAAGGCTAAACATGTTGACACAACAGAAAGTAGAACCTTAAAATGAAAAAAAAAAAATACGGCTCCCTTGAAGACCTCACCCACCTCCCAGCCAGCCTCAGGATCAACTATTTAACAACCTCTGATTGAAAAAAAATTATTTAATTACACAAGTAATACATATTTATTGTGAAAAATCAGCAAGTACAGATTTTTAAAAAATAAACCACTTCTCTTTCCTCCCTGATCATCAGCATTTTCAGAGAAGGGGCTGGGAGGCCTGGCTGGGTGATTATTTTTAACTTATTAGCCTCAGATTTATTTTTTCTTTTAAAAAGAGTAAACATTGTGTTCTCTCTTCTGCCAGGTATTTTTATCTGAATGGTTGATTAGGTAGATGGTTTGTTTTTCTTTTTTTGTTTGTTTGTTTTTGAAACGGAGTCTTGCTCTGTCACCCAGGCTGGAGTGCAGTGGCCGGATCTCAGCTCACTGCAAGCTCCGCCTCCCGGGTTCCCGCCATTCTCCTGCCTCAGCCTCCCGAGTAGCTGGGACTACAGGCGCCCGCCACCTCACCGGGCTAGTTTTTTGTATTTTTTTTAGTAGAGACAGGGTTTCACCATGTTAGCCAGGATGGTCTCGATCTCCTGACCTCGTGATCCGCCCGTCTCGGCCTCCCAAAGTGCTGGGATTACAGGCTTGAGCCACTGCGCCCCGCCAGATGGTTTGTTTTGTTACTGAAATGTCGTCAGTTGCATCTGCGGCTCACACCTGCTGTCCCTGCTCTAGTTCCCACTGAACGGCCAGCCTGGCTGCGAATTAAGTGTCCACGCACCTGCCTCCACAGCACATCCTCGTGCCTGGGGCCGCCTCCTGCAGGGGCCTGGGTGTATTTCACCAACCCCCTCTTGCTGAAGGTGCATTCGTGAGGATGCCGCATGTCCGTATTGACACCGACGGATGGTCATGGTTTGCTATTCAGTAAAAACACACGCACAGAAGAGGGCTGTGCCCTGACCCCGTGCCACCTGCAGCCTGTGATTCCTAACCCTGTCCTGCCCCCTCTCTGTGCAGCACACGGCGGCGGGAGACGAAGGCGGCGGCCAGTCGCTGGTGTCACCGGGCAGCTGTCTGGAGGACTTCCGCGCCACGCCATTCATCGAGTGCAATGGAGGCCGCGGCACCTGCCACTACTACGCCAATAAGTACAGCTTCTGGCTGACCACCATTCCCGAGCAGAGCTTCCAGGGCTCGCCCTCCGCTGACACGCTCAAGGCCGGCCTCATCCGCACACACATCAGCCGCTGCCAGGTGTGCATGAAGAACCTGTGAGCCGGCGCGTGCCAGGAAGGGCCATTTTGGTGCTTATTCTTAACTTATTACCTCAGGTGCCAACCCAAAAATTGGTTTTATTTTTTCTTAAAAAAAAAAAAGTCTACCAAAGCAATTTGCATCCAGCAGCGGCACTTAGACCTGCCAGCCACTGTCATCGAGCGGGTGCGAGCAGTCGGGACCCCTGCAGGGCAAGTCCTGCCCATAGAAAGCCAGGAGCAACCCTGGCCCCTGTTACCCCTGCTAGATGTACCGCCTGGAGGCACAGCTAACCACTTCGCACGCACCCATGTAACCACTGCACTTTCAAATGCCACAGACAACTCACATTGTTCAACTCACTTCTCGGGGTGGGACAGACGAGACAACAGCACACAGGCAGCCAGCCGTGGCCAGAGGCTCGAGGGGCTCAGGGGCTCAGGCACCCGTCCCCACATGAGGGCCCTGTGGGTGGGCCTGGCCCTGCTTTCTACACCAATGTTATGCCAGCTCTGTGTTCTCCCAAATACCGTTGATGTGAATTATCTTCAAGGCAAAACTGTGCTCTTTATTGTAAAAAACACTGATAATCACACAGCGGTCGGTCATTCTTTTGCCACATCCCTATAGACCATTGGGTTTGGCCAAACTCAGGCGGAAGTGGAGACCTTTCTAGGCGTCATTGTCAGCCCTGCTACTTGAAGGTACACCCCATAGGGTCGGAGGTGCTGTCCCCACTGCCCCACGTTGTCCCTGAGATCTAACCCCTCCACTGCTGGGGGTGAGCTGTGCTCTTCTGACTACCCCCTCCTGTGTAACGACTACAAAATAAAACTAGTTTTGAATATTTTTAAACCCCAAGTTGCTGACTGCCTTAATCTTATCGTGTTCACAGAGCAAAACGTTTGATGAATGCAAGGCACTGCCTCCACCCATGCTAGTGTTTTTATCCATCTCAGTAGAGTTGAACCCATTTGTGGTATTGCAGCCATTTCTCAGGGAATGTGTTTATGTTTATAACTCACTAATGCTTACAGAAAACACCCCAACCAGGCCAGGCGTGCTGGCTCACACCTGTAATCCCAACACTTTGGGAGGCCGAGGCAGGTGGATCACCTGAGGTCAGGAGTTCAAGACCAGCCTGGCTAACATGGTGAAACCCCATCTCTACTAAAAATATAAAAATTTGCCGGCGCCCATAATCGCAGCTACTCGGGAGACTGAGGCAGGAGAATCACTTGAACCCGGGAGGCAGAGGTTGCAGTGAGCTGAGATTGTGCCACTGTACTCCAGCCTGGGCAACAAAAGTGAAACTCCATCTCAAAAAAATAAAAACGAGAAAGAATAAAAACACCCCAACCAGCACTTGTGGGAATTTGGAGAAAGGGCACTTCACAGATGTATTTCCAAAGTCATTCAATTCGTTCCAACATAGGCTGGGTGCAGTGCCCCACATCTGTAATCCCAGTACTTTGGGAGGCTGAGGTGGGAGGATCACTTGAGCCATAGGAGTTTGAGACTAGCCTGGACAATATAGCGAGACCCCATGTCTACAAAAAAAAGTTCCCACATAACTTCCCAAGTCAAAGCTCAGTATTTCAAAGAAACAGTCTCCGAGATTCAGCTCACAGAGTTTGACTCTCTGAAATGCAAGCTCAAATTGAAGTTTTCCTAAGAAAAATGTTCACATTATGAAATAAGTATCCTACCTTATAATGTTATTTGAAACAGATAAACAGCTGCCATAGCTCATGTTCCCCCAGAAGCTGGCTGAGGCCAGGACCTCTACAGAGCAGGGCTATGTGGGAAGGTGATTTCAGGAAGCCTGAGTGGGACCTGGAGGGGGAGAAACCAAGAATAAGAAAAGCCAACTCAAGGATGTGAGACTAAGGGGGTTACCACTGTGGATGGTTTAGGCTTGATCCTGCTTGGGATCCACCAAGGAAGGAGCCTCACATGGTCCAGCCATGGCTTGGAAAGGGAAGTGTTCTCCATTAGCTGTGGTCTCGACTGGTCGGGGGTTGCCTGAGGGTGTTAATTCCCTCACACTCCCGGGTGCGCCACACACCACGGCTAAGCGGGCTCCTGCCAGATGCCAGGTAGAGGTGGTAGAGGACCAGGCAGAGCTGAGACACGGTGTGTCAGGCCACACCTGCACGTGGCCAGTCACCACGGCAATAGCTGCAGCAAAACGGTGGGCCCAGAGCGTGTGAGACAGAGATCAAGAGACCAGAGCTTGCAACCACAGCAACTCTAGAAGCTGGGAAGCAGCAATTCATTCTAGACTCCACCCCCACTGCCAAGGAGGCAACCACAAAGTATGCTGCGGTCCTGAAGACCCCTGCTCGACTGGGGTAGGCTGGATACTTTGTGTGGCGGTCACACTTCAGCGTCAGTACCCAGTGTTAAACATCAAAGAAATGTTTCACCCTAGACCTAAAATACATGAGAAGATGAAGATCCTCAACACAATTGGTTTCCAAAATGTGGATTATAAAATATAAACCAATCACAATTCATAACCCCGACATCTGTGCCAAGGAGCCCACGATCCCGCTGAAGTATAGCGAGTGGAGATGCCTCATCTGGAATCGAACCATTGGCTATCCCACACCTTGAAAATCAGAGCTCTGCCCTTCATGGACCCTGCATGTTGCATAAGACAGATTTTTCCAGGCTAGTTTCTTGGTGCCAGGAATAACTGCCCCCTGAGAGCTGAGCGTGCTTGAACCATCCACTAATGATGTGCCACATTTTCCAGAGGGTGGGTGCCCCAAAGTCAGAATCACTTCTGCCTCCCAGCTGCTTCAGACAGTGACTTTCAGCACCCCAGGCAGAGATGCTGCTGGAATGTGCATAAAGATGCATCTGCAGCCATCCTGACTGGGTAGGGGTACCCAGAAGATTCACAAGCCCCTGGAGAGCACATCAGCCTTTAATCCACCCAAGAAGAGCAAGTTGGCAAGGATGGCCTGGATGGGTTGCTTCAGTGAGCCGGGCCGCCGGTAAAATGAATCAGAGCACCTGTGCATCAGAGTGACGTCAGGAGAATCAGATCAGTCACTCCACGTGAACGTGCCTAAGCTGCAGGCATGTATGCACTCGTACGTGTCCAGGACCTACGAGGAAGGAGGTAGAGAATTGCTGCAACTTGGGAGTTCTAAATGTGTTGAGGTTGAGCACTAGGATTTCAAATGCACAGTGCAGGGAAGGGAGTAGAATGATTTGGAAAGTAAATTCCACAGCATGCTAGACATGGGAGGGAAGGGTAACACGAGCTACCAGGAGGATCTTAAAGTGACAGACCAAACCCAAGCAGATGTCTTGAAGGCAACGAGGGAACAGCATCCTCACCTCCCACACGTGGTGCAGCAAGAACCTCAGTCTGCAGACTCAGGAAGCCACCACGCTACAAATATCTAGGAGCTGTTTGTATTCATACAGCGTAAGTTCAGCTCAGACAATAAAATGTCAGGCTGTCCTCTCCCTCCCCGCTGAGAAATGCTCAGTGTTTCTGGTTACACCTGGAGGTGGCTTTTCCTTGAGGCCGCCTTCCTGGAAAAGGGCCATCCCCTTATTTCAAAAGAAAACCCTGCAGAAGTTTCAGGAGCTCACTGAAGCCAGTAGGGGAAAGGTGCTGTTAATAATATAAGTAATTTGGAAATGAGTGGCGTCTCTAAGACCAAAGGCAAAGAGAACTGCACACAGCATTGTACTCTAGTGGATAAAGTTGTTTCTTGCAGGAGTACTGGTGAACAGTGCTGACACCACATTCATGCTAAAACTGAACCATCGGTTGGGCACGGTGGCTCACGCCTGTAATCCCACGACAGAGAGAGACTCTGTCTCCAAAACAACAACAACAACAACAACAAAAAACTGAACCATTAATTAAGTGGATGGTCGGTGGGAGCCATGTTTCTTATTGGAGGAGAATTACAGCAAAGTGGGAAAATGACACAATGATTAGAGTCAGAGATATCAGAAGAACTCAGGTTTAGCCTATTATAGACACCTATAGTCGCATAAAGAAATATCTGTAGGTATGTGTACATATAGGGGTAGGTGTGTGTACATATAGGGGTAGGTGTGTGTACATATGGGGTAGATGTGTGTATATATAGGGGTAGGTGTGTGTACATATAGGGGTAGGTGTGTGTACATATAGGGGTAGGTGTGTGTATATATAGGGGTAGGTGTGTGTATATATAGGGGTTAGTACACACGCATGTATTTCTTTGCTCTGTCAGCTGGGAGGGCCTGAGAGAAGCAGCCCCCCAGGAGCAGTGAGCACACCTGGCCCCAGATCTGGGTTTCTAACACTCTTCTCCAATAAAAGGACCCGAGGCTCCTCGGGGAGATGGCTGATTCTGAGACTGGGGCAGGAAATATAGACGATGAGACTGGAACATCTTGTAGTGCCAGAAAGTAAGGAAGTGCTCAAATAAAACCCCAAATGGAGATATGTGGAAGTGACACGGGAGCCATCTGAAAGAGCTCCCTAAGACCCAAGACGAAGCCATCTGAACAAGAAAGTAAGATAGTATTGGATAACAACCCAAAGTATAAAATCAATATCCATAAGTCCATTCTGAGTCCTCAGCCTTCCTCTCTAAGGATGACCTGCTGTTCCCAGCACCCAGCGAGGTCCTCAAGGCTGGACGGTGTCCGAGGAAGAGCGGCTCATGGGTGGCGTATCTCCTGCACGGCCTGTGCCCAGCTGTGCGGGGCAGCTACGGCTCCGATGTTGACGCACGTGTGTGTGCAGCTGTGCAGTGGCGCGTGTGGCACACATACACCCTCCCCAGAAAAGAAGCACCTTTCCTGCTCCTACACCTCCCCGTCAGGCACTTCTCACAATTCTGCCAAAACCAAGGGAGATGAAAAACGAAATGTCACAAAGACAATGTGCCCTTTTTTTTGAGACCACCTCTGGTGAAGTAGGGAACGATATTCCCCCATTTCATAAGAGATTTTCCCCCAAGAATGGCAAAATCAGCTTGCACAAGATAACACAACACCATGTACTGCAGGGGGCATATGTCCAAGCCAAAACCTCTTACAACAACCGAAAGCGAGCGCGGGGCGACGCTTGAAACCTTCCTAAAACAGCGACCATTGGCAGCATCAAATCCATAGTGCCCAGGTGCAAACCCCGAAGGCCACTCTCACACAACCATTACCTCCTTCCTGGGTGGAT